TAGAAGGAGAGTACAATTAAGGGTAGGTGGTTGGCACAAGTAAGCCCTAATGGGCTGGCAAAAAGCATCAAACACTTGGTGGAAACTGGCAAATGGTAGAAAAAAATGTTAAGTGGAAATTTGGGGGATAAAAATACAAAATTTTAGTTAGCATCTATTTAATTGTACTATACCTACAATTGGTCCTTTTTCTCTTGTAGAATATACCCAGTCTGCACATATTAATCCATTTTAGTACAAAAAGGTGGGATTTACTTCGCATGTTGGTGGAGTATGGGTCCCCTTAACCATCAGCAGCTCACATCTAATAATGCATTAAATAACAAAATGTAGAAATTCGACTAACTAGATAAGAAAAATAAAAGCTAAACACTGTCAATCTTATCTTCTCCCCTACAACGAATATTCACACATTTTGGCTAAAACTCATCACATGTGCGTGGAAGAAATATTAATTTCGTTAACATTATCTTCTCTACTTCTTTCTCTCTCTACTCTCTTTTTTCTTTTTTCCCTTTTTTTTTTTCTACCTTTCTATTCAAAAGTTATATTGGGACAGCTCCAATTCTGAGAGGAATTGTTGAGAACATACCTGAAAAACCCAAAAACCAAGCCAGGAATCCCATCCCATGATTTTGAGAAATCTAAGGGCCATCCATATACAGTGGGATTAGTCTCCTCTATGTCCAAACAGATGAGATATGGAAATCCTATATCAGCAGAAAAGCAGCAGAAATCATCAGTTTTTCTTATAATAAAATATTAAAAAACTACAGCAATAGCACTTGATACCAATTCCAAACACAACCTTGTAGTCGTAAAGGAACTTCCTCTTCGAAGTACCAAGGGCGGGTGTCATGTGTCAGAGTCACAAAAGGGTACCTTCAATGTTATGACTCAAACTAATGCAGAGATTTAGATGGAAATGGGGCCTTAGTTTCCTTCCAAGTTCCAGGTAAAAATTATATTGTTATTAGGCAAATGACAAATCAAATCCACAGCACTCATTTGCACTGTCAAATATCTTTCTGTCAAATGGAAAATATTACATCAAAGCTTAGCAAATTAAGGAACTGTTGTTTGAATTGCAAGGCCATGTCAGTGGCTGTGACCTGTAAATAGTTTGAATCAAAATGGTTTTCAGACATGTAATACAAAATTTTCATTTTGTAGGGTCTGTTCAACAAACCTAAGAACAGTCTGAGAGAATGTAAATATGCAAGTTTTCTTTTTCTTCAGCCTCCAAAGAGAAACCCCGCAGCCTGCTCTTCGTTGCCATCAAATAATCTAAGTGCTTGTATTACTGCCTCTCTTGCAAAACCGAGCTCCACAAGCTTAGCAACTTAAATAATAAATTAAATTAAATATTTAAAACTCAAAGAACACAAATTGCACCCAATTCCAACATATTTATCCTCCTTGCAAAAAGGGCTTTTTGAGCACTTTTTTAAACGTAGCACTAACTTAATTTGGACTTTTGCGCATACTACCCAACATGATTGAATAGAAAAAATTAGCCTCCTTAATTATATTTCTATTAAAATAACAATGGCATATATTTAGAAAGAAATTTTTAAAAGTTCATGTCATAGATTTCTTTATTGTTTAGAGTAATAGTAATGGATATAAATAACAATATAAAACAATTCTTAATAAAAACTAATCTAGTATACAAGAAGGTACTAAAAAACGTACATAGATTTAAGGTTAAATGTTAATTTTAGTCCCTTAATTTTACGAAGTTGCATTTTTTTTATCCTTCAATTATTTTTTACATTTTTTGGATCCCTAAACTCTAAAAATTGCAGAATTTTAGCCCTTCCGTCAGTTAAGTATGACGTGTCTATTAAATAATTTAATGCGGTATTTTTTTTTAAAGATGACGTGTTACTAACATATTTTATAATTATTTAAATGGAAAAATAAAAATGTCACATCAGTTAAATATTTATATTTTAATAAAAATAAATAAATAAACAAAATTATGTTATTGTCCCATCAAACACTAGCAGTTGGTGATAAGGCTCTGCAAGCCATCGTTCCCCATGGAGCCTTTGCTACAACTGGATCCAACCAACCTCCTCGTGTACGAAGACATCTTAGATGATCCACTCGCTGCCTCTCACCTGCCTCCACTGATCTCAAGAACCATCGTCAATCCCATCGACTCTTCCAATCTGAGCTACTGCACTAGATTCCTCCTCCACCACCCTTCTGATTCCATGGGCCTCTCTGGCCTCCTCGTCCTGTTGCAATCCTTCAGGTCTCACTGCTTTCTCTCCCATTATTCACCTTGTTTTCCTTTTCTCTACAGTTTCTCAATATTTATTTTTATTTTTCGTTGAACAAGGCAATTTATTTGGGGGAGAATTTCCATCAAACTATTTGTTTCAACTTTAATTCGGCTTCTGGTTAGTGTTTACTAAAACAGCAATTGTAATCTAGTTGAAACTCTGAAAAATTACTTAGAATATTTGTTTACAACTACTAGTGTTCGTTAACAGCTTAATATTAACGAGAACAATTAACATTAATTAGATCTGCTAGGTTCCATCAAACCCGACTGTTGGGTTCAGTGGAACCCAGATCGATTGGATTCCACCAAACCCAACTTTGTTGGTTCGACAAAACTCAACTCTATTGGGTTCCATTGAACCTAGCTACTAGGTTCGATGGAATCCAGATCGACTAGGTTTGACAAAACTCAACTTTGCTCGGTTCAAAAAAGCCCAACTGTTCGGTTTAGAATTAGGTTCTGTTGATTCTCATTTTTCTTTAGAGTTGGTATTGTCAAGTTCTCCATGTTTTCTCATTCTTCTTTCGATTCCCATTCCTAGTTCTTGATAAATTTAGGAGTTGATTTACACTTTGATTGCATTTATATTGGAATTTGATTAGGGTTTGATTGACATTGTTTATTGAGGAGTTAATTTGATGGAGTGGAGATGAGAGAACATTTAGAGAAGAAGATATGAGTTAAGATCGATTTTGCAGATGGACTGGAGATAAGAGAGCGTTAGGGTTCACAGACATTTTATCCCTTTATTGGTTCTTTGTAGGTAATGTGAGACCCATTTGAGAGGTTTTGACTTGTTTAATTCGTGAAAATATGATATGGCATCATATTTTGTCCATATCAGCACATTTTTAAGTTATTTTCTCCACGTCATAAAAATATATAAAAAATGTCACGTGGACAGAGTTAACGCCTCAAATTGACGGAATAATCAAAATTGTCGGAATAATCAAAATTGTGTAACTCTTAGAGTTGTGGGATCAAAAAATGCAAAAAATAGTTTAGGGACCAAAAAAATGCAACTTTATAAAGTTGAGGGACCAAAATTAGTATTTAACCTAGATTTAATCCTAGATAAATAAAAAAGAGAGAGAGAGAGAGAGAAGGGAGAGAGAAGAAGTTACAAGTTATTTTCCCTCTTGTTGGTGTTACTTTTTTTAATTTCTATAGTTTTTATCTTTTTCTCT